TGCCATAACATAAATGGCTATTTACTCAACAATAAGGAGAAAAATTGAAGGGTAGTTAATTTTCTGTTACAAAAACAGAAAACTGAAAATTGGATAACTGCATTGGATTTAATATTAATATTTTATTATTAAACCAAATATTTAATAACATTTCTGTTAATATTTACTATTAACACTTAAATTTGGTTCAAAAATTAATCAATCGATCGATCATTTGACCAAATCCAAATCCGAATCCGAAGCCGAGCCGAGCCGAGCGAGCGAGCGAGCGACGACGACGATGACGACGCGAGGCTTGCCTTCTTCTCAACTCTTTATGAGCTAGAAGAAGAGCAATTGCTTATGTACCCATCAAAAACCTTTTCCTCTTCCCATATGTGACAATCAAGGAGGGAAGCTCAAATATTACTCAAATATTTTATTTTTCCCTCCATTTCTCATTCACCCTATTTTAAGCATTAATAGCTTAAATACCCAACACTTTTAACCTGTACCCTACTTTTAAAAATTATTGATTTGGTAGCCAGTTGACAAAAAATCCGTAATAATATGACACTTACACCCCTGATAAATCGCGTGATCTGCAACCCCATTCATGAAAAAAGTTCTCCTCATCTCCTCTCAGCAGCTTTATCAAAAATCAGAAACTTCATGCTAATGTAGCATGAAGTTGTTTCATGCTGAAGCTAAAACTTCATGCTAATGCATGCTGAAGTTATTTATCCTGCAGTCTATAGTTTTGTCATGAGTGCTGAAGTTATTTAGTTCATTTGCTAAAACTTCAGTTTAAACATGCTGAAGTTATTTAGTTCATTTGCGAAAACTTCAGACTAAACATGCTTAAGTTTTTGTCTTGCAGTATGTAATTTTCTAAAGTGTTTTTGCTAATGCATGCTAAAGTTATTTAGTTCATTTACTAAAACTTGAGACTAAATATGCTTAAGTTATTTAGTTCATTATGCTTAAGTTATTTAGTTCATTTGCTAAAACTTCAGACTAAACATGCTTAAGTTATTTAGTTTATTTGCTAAAACTTCAGACTAAACATGATTAAGTTATTTAGTTCATTTGCTAAAATTTCACGCCAAAACATGCTGAAGTTTTGTCCTGCAGTCTACAGTTTTGTCAATAATCCTGAAGGGTAAAATTATCTTTTTAAAATGCTTTTATAAGTTAAAAGGAGGCGATCAAATTGAGCGCCCCATACCATTTTTACTGCCTAATGCTCCATATGCATATTTGATAAATGGGTAGTAAAATAAAAGTCTATTCAGATATTACTTGTTATAATTAACTATAACTATTTCTTTTGTCTTTTGTTTTGTTGAACGACGTCGAACTGTTTATAAGCTGCTTTAAATTGATGACGTGAAGGGTGCTTATTTGATAATTGTATCCTATGTCGCAAGATATTTGTAGTTTCTGACTCTAAATTGATGAATTTCCAAAGAACATGAGGAAAATTGATGTATTTTTTGTTACATAATTTAATTATGATTTTCTTTTTTTCAGAAACAGCCTCTCTATCCTTCCGGGGTAGGGGTAAGGTCTGCGTACATTCTACCCTCCGCAGACTACACTTGTAAGATTTTACTGGGTTGTTGTTGTTGTTGTTGCATACATCCAAAACAACTAACTTATTTGTGTTTGTAGCAAAAAATTAATTTAAAAAAATTATAACCTTATAAATCGAGTTGGTTTAGATAAAGAACCAAAAACGCTTTACTTTCTTGTTTTCCTAGTTTATCCACTTTATGAACAATCCCATCTAATATTGGATGATGTTTACATGAAAAGTTATCAATTTTATTAAACTAGATAGAGTATAAATGCAAAGGCAGCAAGTGCTAATATTTTTAGAGTTGGTACGATATTCTAGAAAGTGGATGCCAGATTTGGTTCTTCCAACCTTTAAATTAAACCAATTAGTAGTTTCTAAACATAAATAGCTGTGCATATCTACGATTAATGTAGTCTGACTTTGCAATTTGTATCGAACAAATCCAAAATAATCCAATTAGGACCCTTTTCCCAAGAATTTATCTTTATTTTGATTCACTAATATGTATACAAACCAAAATCCATCTTGGATATGAGAAGATTAAATCGTTTTCATTTTGTAGAATCTCAACGAGAGAATGTAACTTTGTAGTTTCATAATACAAATGTACCTTTATTTCTTTTAAGTCTGAACACCCTTGAAAATATTTCTGGCTTTGCCACTAGTTATAGGTAACACAAACACTTTAGAAAGCATATAATTTGTAAGATTTCTAATTTTTTTTTTCTTCTTTTGACTGTTTTTATGTGAAACCATCACCACCTCTATGATGGTTCGTGTGTGTGATAGTGATAGTCCAAAAATCAAAACCAACTCCTTTGTACTTTGAACATTTATTATTTTCAGTTTTTTCAACTTTATTAATTTTAAAACTTTATAATATTTATAAATAAGTTCACGAGATTTTCGAGATGCAAAAACTACAAGCAACTGTCCAATAATCTTTAGCTTTCACGTAGCTGAATTTTAATATCCCCCTCCATGTTCATGCATGTTATTGCTACGTTTTCATACTTGTATGGCGTGAAAAACCTAACCAGCTCCACTTTTTCCTTTCTTTTATATTTCTTCCCTTTATTTTTTTTACTTAATTATTTTTTTTGCTTTAGGTATTCAATATTCGAAACTCATTAGTCTCGCTAATATATCCAAATTCATGTCAAGTAAGCCAGCTAAGTGCATAAAAACACTCTCTGCCAAAAATTTTGCATTCCAATTATTTGAACCCGATACATCTGATTAATTAGGGGTAGATGCACGTTCAACTATGCGGTATCACACGATACCACTTCATCGTAAAATTTTACCAAATACATGTATTAATACTATGAGGAATTAAATAAGTAGAAAAAAATGATACCACTTGAACATAGATTGCCTTTTGGCACTTGGTTAGGTATCTGACTTTGCTCTAAGAGGTCACATGTCCGAACCTTAACTAGCACGTATTTTTGGCAAATATTTGAACTCATGAGCTTTTCTAACTTAAGACTCAACAAAGTCAATGGACTAAAACTATTTCTTACATAAAAATTTGATAGTTAAAGTTATTTCTTCGCTTTTCTCTATAAATTTCGGCACTGGTTACAAAAATTTCTACGTACGACCCTGCGATTGATGTTTCAACTATCCCATCACAACTCTGGATGTTTTTTCCCTTCATATATTATAAGCTGATGAACCATCCCAATAATTTTTTGAAAAGCAACCTTGGCTTATAATGTAAGATTTTTTGTCTGTTAGCTTAGAGTCAACCACTTCCATGTTGTTTGTTTGTTTCTTAATTTTGTATTAACAAGTCATGCTCCATACAGCATAATAATAGTAGTAATTTACAAACAGGTCACGTCCTACTGTTTTTTCTAACTAGACCAATACGCAACTCCTTTCTCATTATTTCTTAATTAGGTCACAACTATGACTTATATGGCTCTCACTTAGTGGATTGGATTAGCAAGAAAACGATTAGGTTTATTTATAATCATGAGCTTAATTGACTATGTTTATTGAAAATCATGATCAGCTTAATTGACTATCTACATTAATGCCCAACCACTTTCCATTTAGGGAGCAACAAGGATTAAGTACTAAAAGTCTTCTTCGACTGGAGAATTCCTATGGATCTTGAAAAATTGGGTTCTTGTCCATTTCAAACTCTAAATCTTGCGACATATTTAGAAAAATGATACTGCATAACCGCTCTCAAAATAATAGCAAAGAAATGTATATTTTATATATATATATATATATATATATATATATATAAATATATACATTCTATATGATATATATAAAATATATAAATTTTATATACTTTTTGTAACACCCCAGACTTTAGACAGAGTCCCACATCGGCAAAACACAAGAGTGATGCTGGGTATATAAGTTAACAAGCATTAGATCCTATTAACGCGTTTTAAACCCGTGAGGTCAATATCACTAGCGGCCTGGGCTGTCACACTTTTACGACTATCGAATATAATATTCAACCGGGGGCTAAAAGTGATCTTTGCCCGAGCTACTTTGAAGCTCTCTTCAGTTTCAAATGAAGAAGAATTCCATGAGCATTTACTCTAGTGATCTTTCGAGGGCTTTCAACAAAAAACAAATTAGTGAAATGTGGTTTCAAATAGTCTTTTCGCAATTAATTCAATTGAAAGCTCCCCCACATACTAACCAGATTGGTTATGACCAATATCTTTTCTCTTCTGTTTCGGTTAGTTTGTGCACACCGTGACTATTTCAATGGATATCTGTTATCACCTGCCAAAAATAAGTATGAGATAAATCTGTCTATCAAAACTTAGGCAAATAAAAAAAAATCACCAGGCATTTGTGTTTCTGTTGAGATCTGAAACCTAATCCGTTTGGTTCAATACAAGGATATCCTTGGATTACAATCCCGATAGATGCCAAGAGTTTTGTATAAATTAATCCCAGTATTAGCTAAATCTCACAACCAAACATGACATAAATATAATCTCAAATTTATACTATCATTGTCCCGGAAATAAACGAATTATAATTTTGACCCGCTTCGTAATCATTAGTGATTACCTATACTGGACAGTTTTAGTTAGACGACTTGGTCTACTAGGATAATTCATGATGAAACAAAATTAGTAGTGTAGTTCAAGTTTCCACCAACAATTAATTGTCTATTTTGAAATTTAAGTACCCTAACAAAATATGGATAATGGAGAGGAAAAAAGTTCCATTTCTGCACTTCTAATTCCAACCATTCCCTCTTTGTCATTTCATTTGCCTTTTGCATTATGCCATTCATTATTCTAACATCCTTATTCCTTTAAGCAGATTCTTCTTGGATAAGCTATATTAAATCTTGGTTTTGCACTTACAACTATTCAAAAAGTAAGAACGAGATTTGAATAATCCGAAACTAGAACAAAATTATGAAAAAAACAAATAAATTTCCACCAATTGGTCGAGTCTATTGAGGTATCAGTTTGTAATAGTGGACACCTAGAACTAGGAATATATGTACAATTACAAAGAACACAATATGTTACAGATTATTCTGTTATATTTGAAGGGAAAAGGGGCAATTTTATTGGCACCTTTACAATCCCCTTAACAAGAAAACATCAACCTCTCTATCTTGTATAGCAGCCTAAAGTTGTGTAGTATAAACACTTACCACTAAAATGGAGTAACAAAAGTTAATAAGCAAAATTAGTTTGATCCTTATATTCTTTTCTGCTAATTTACACATAAGGAAGGGGCGCCTTGGCGTAACTGGTAAAGTTGCTGCCACGTGATCAGGAGGTCACGGGTTCGAGCGGTTAAAACAACTTCTTGCAGAAATGCGTAAGATTGCATAAAATAGACCCTTGTAGTCTAGCCCTTCCCTGAACCCCGCGCATAGCGGGAGCTTAGTGCACAGGGCTGCCCTGATTTACACAGATGATCTCCATATCCTTCCTTCGAACGATATGATGATAATCGAGACATCATCGTGGTACTTCCTACGATCACCTTGTGGTATATCAAGTAACTCATGGAAGTCCATACCTGGAATAATAGAAAAACAAAGTTTTCTAGAGTTAGATTTGTATGACAAATTAGTACTTAGTGATCTCACAAGTACAGTCAGACTTATCTATAACTGCATCCTTATATAACATTCATTCAATATAAAAGTCAAGTTTTCTCGGAACAGAGTTTTTATGTTATGTTATAATATATGTCATATATAACAGCACTTCACTATAGCATTCAGAAAATATATGAACAAACGAGGTTGTTATAAAGAGGTCTGACTATACAGATTTGAGTATATGAGTATTTACCAGCTTTTTTTGCAGCTCTAAATAACACTTCTTCAACAAGATGTTGCGCGGGATCTCCCTCGGGGAATATAGACATAAATGTCTCAACTTCAGCAACTGCTTCTTCATTGTTGAAATATTGGTAAAGTCCATCAGATGATAAGATCAGAAATCTATCTCTTGGGCTAAGTCTGTGGTGGTAAAGTGATGGTAAACAGTTGATATAAGGCGAATTTCCAACGTAGTCTATTCTGAAAACCTTTAGAAGTGCATTGTTCCATTTGGGCTACAAAAATCACACAAGTAAATGAATTTAACACCAGCATTAATTCTAGTTAAATTTCAAGAAATCATATTTCTCAAAGGTTATGTATACCTGTTTGAGATAGCCTGCTCCGAAAGCTCGAGTAACGTTTAAAGAACCTTTTACTCTATCTTTTTTTATAGCAGATGCGTCTTCAGGATGCTCACTTCTAATCCTAACAACTTCCTGCAAAAATTTATCAGACAAACATAAGAATTAGTCTATGAAACAGTAAAAAGGCAGCAGGGTGCACTAAGCTCCTGCTATGCGCAGGTGCCGGACCACAAGGATCTATTGTACACAGCTTTACTCTGCATTTCTGCAAGAGGTTGTTTCCATGGCTCGAACCCGTGACCTTCTGGTCACATGGCAGCAACTTTACCATGAAGCGTACATCAGACTTAAGTAGAATCGACTAGAATTGGTACCTCTTTAACAGATGTGCTATGATCCATAGAAAGTTGACAAGAAGTTAGATTGTGTTTTCTGTCTGAATCAATTCTATAGAGTTGTGCATCAATGTTATTTAGACTCTCCTCATTTATCCGATCCAAATTACAAATGGAACGATCCGATTCAAGATTTTGAGCTAAAACAGCTCTGCTATCTCCAACATTCATCAAGTAAACATCTTTTCCTTTCATCAACATAACTAAAACACAAGATCCCATTAAGGCTAACTCGGGGTTCTCGTTCACCATCATATCTGTCATCTCCAAATATGATACCTCGGTTCTCCTCAGCGCCTCTGATAACGCGTTCAATACGTCTAAATGGTTAATACTAGCAACTGTATCAGGTCCTGAATTGCTCAATTTTGATTGATCTAATTCTTGATTCTGAACGATAACTGTCTCGTTACATATGATACTTTCTGAATCTTTTTCTAACTTGTCATTCCATAGCAATCCCTTGAGTTCCTTGAATACATTTGAGTAAAGATTTTTCAGTAGAAAATCAGTAGCATCAGGTCCATTAAATCCATCATAAATTCCAACAAAAACCCAACCATGTTCCTCAGAAATCACTACATGTACTCTGTCTTCCCCTGCTTTCCCCTGTGCCCACTGCACATTTTGACTTCTAAATAATTCATTTTCCTCATCTTCATCAACCAAACTGTTTTCATTACTCAAACTATTTACCAATGGGTCTTTAATCTCATTTTTCTCCTCTGCCAAAGTCATTTCTTGGAAAACTTTCTTTAAATTCCTAACTAAATGCCATTTACTAGACTCAGGTTTGTACCTTTGGAGCTGATCATACTGATTGTCCAATGGACCAGAGTTGAAGCTCCGCTCTATTGGACCGGAGAGGAATCCCCTCTCGATCGGGCCTGAGCCCGAGGTAGAAACTCGGGGAATCGGGCCTGAACAAACAGAGGGGATTGATCTCCGGGGAATTGGTTGAAGTGGGAAAGAAGAAAACCACTGAGAGCTTTCAAAAGCTGACGACTTCTCAACGTAAGTTTTGGAAGGACAAACGTCGACGAGGGCAGTGGACAGAGGCGTGGAGGTGTTGGCGGAGATAGAGGCGCCAGAGATGGTACGAAACGCCGTCGTTTGGCTGCTGCTGGTGGTACTGGAGATAGTGGTGGTAGTGGAAGAAGAGGAGTCTTCTGAAAAAGGGTGATTTTTGGATAATGAATCATGCAAGATGTAGCAAAAAGAATGGCCTAATCCTTTGTCAAGTGTATCAAAGAGATCTACACCAATATCATGGCGTCGTTTTGAGATTTCTCCAACATCTCCTGCAAAACATTGCTTCAACTTTCCAATTCCGTTTCCCATTCTCTATTTGATAAACTAAAAATATCAAACAGTTTTGATAAATATTCTAACTACGAAGCACTTTTAATTGGTGTTCGACTTAGGATTGTGGTGAGATAGATAGACGTCCAATACTTAACCTGTTGAGAAGGACATCTTTTTTCAAGAAAAATCACAAATTGTTCCACTAGGAAATTGATAGTAAAAACAAAGAATATATGATCAGCTTGAATTTATATGGAGAAACACTATTTAAAAGTGAATAAATATGGAGAGAATAAAGCTGTAAGTCTATGAGAAAAGAAGAAAAAAATATCAAGACTGAAATTTGAAAGTTTATAGCAGGTGGTTATTGATGAACCTTTAGCATTTAAATTCATAAATATGAAGAGGAAAAAGGGGTTGAGAGAGAGAGAGAGAACCAAAAAGTATGGGGGAGTTGACTTTGGATACATGAAAAGTAAGAATATTAGTTATTGTACTTATTACTTATTCGATGCTCCTTTGGGTGGCACTTCACTATTTTCTTTTTTTATTATTATTTTATTTTATAAATGTTTAATTTAATTTGTCTGGTGTTCAAGCATAGACGCAAATACAACGTTGTATTGTTGGTTCATCTGAAATAACTACTTTCAATGTAGAGTATAGATTTATATATAAGAATTTACTAAAGCTGTAACAATTGCAGGTTTAAAATTATAATTTAAAAAAATGTAATAAATTTAATACTAAAAATCTTAAAGGTTAAATTCATAAAACTTAAATCGTAGATCGAGCTCTGATTTTAAGGGAGGTGGGGATAGGGGAAAGGCGTTGACATTGATTATTATAGCATGTCTTAGTTTGTGGGTGTTTATCTAGCTTAAGGCTAAGGTAAGCTAAAGCGTGTGGGTGTTTGAATAAAATAGCAATTAGGAGTTAAAGTCAAAAGGGCCAACTTGAGAAAAAATATATATTATGGGGCCAAATAAAAACAAAAAATGATTAATTTAGAGGAGAAATCAGCATGCCAACTAGGTAATAATATTGGGTGCCACGTTTACAGGAGAAATATTGCCAGCTGGCTAAATTTCTTGGCTTGGTCAATCATAGTTATAGACTTATAACTGACATATTTCCTCTCTTCATTCTCTAGTTAATAATGGTGTCTTTTTTTCTTTTGTTTCAAGCATTCTGTTTCATTTTGTTACAATAATTTTTTATAGGGAAGGAGCCTTAGAACAATGGTAAAATTATCTTAACGTGGCCTATAAATTACAGGTTCGAGTCATGGAATCAACCATTGATATTTGTATCTAGATAAGTTGTCTATATCACATTCTAAGTATCACACCCCTTAGGATGCGGTCCTTTCCCGAACCCTACAATAATTTCTTAAACATAATTTAAAAAATTATGAAAGGTCTAACTATGCGTTTTTTGGTTATTAAGTGATCTTAGGAACAACCATAAGACACTTGAACCTATTAATTTGATATATAGGCTTTTCATTATCAGCTTGTAACATGTAAACCACTCCTCAGCCAAAAACTTGATTTATCTATGTTTGTCACTGTTTACCTTCAAAATCGGATAACAATTAAATTTGTAAGTGATTTTAAGGATACACGAATTAATTTGATACAAAACGATAAATTAAGTTAGATTGAACAAACAAAGACGAAATAAATTCAAACCACACGAGGAGGATAATTTCAGCCTTAGTGAAATATTCAACCTCGATCCGGCATTGCAATGGCCAGCACTGATGAATAAGAAAAAAGAGCTAATAATAGAGAAAATAATAATATATTACTTTGGAATGCGTGTTACAATCTGTTTCATGATTTACCAGACCCCCTTTATATAGTAGGGGAGTCTTACTATAGGTACAACTCTATAAAACGTAAAAAATCTTCTGATTAACTGATTGCCGGTTCCTTATCGATACGTGCCGAGATCCCCGCTGATACGCTCAAATTACACTTTAAGAAATAGTGCAAGGCGGTCGATGTCAAATATAATAACCCAACAAGATTGGGGTCGAATCCCACAAAGAATAGGTGTGAAAAGGTTACTTGAATAGTGTGTTGCTCGACTAAAGTCGTAATTCTATCCAGTTAACGGTAACAAGAGTGTGAATTAATAGTAACAAGAGCATGAGTTGAGTTTGTTTTGAAGTAACAACTAGTTGGAATATTGAGAGTGTACGTAATTGGATTAAAGAAACCAAGGTTATGTCCCCTTTAATGAAGTGTAATACTATCGGTGTTAATATGATATATTTTTAATGGAAGGCTCTTTTGATATGCAAATGATGTCTAAATGACTACCCAATATTTCCCAATTGTTGGGTAGTATTTACTCTTTATGATTTTTCCAAATGTAAAAGAGTTGCAATTAAGAACAATCAATTTATGCCAAATAAAACCCATTTATTCCTAAGCGATTTTATTAAACAAGATTTAAAGCCTTGAGTCTTTGATATTTACTTCTACCAAATTCTAACTCACTTTCCCGAGCAAAGCAAGAATTTAATGGCTCTTGTTAATGTTTGCAACCACCAACAATAAATGAAGAATGAGAAGTAAATAAATATCAACCAACCATTATATATATATATATTCAATGTTATATATATATATATATATATATACCTATTTAGGGTCCACAACCTTAGTATTTAAAGTTAGCTACTCATACTAAAATACAAAACAAGAGAATAATAGATGCCATAAAGCTTACAAAGCAAAGATTCTTGACCCAAAAGCTTCCAAAAGTGAAGAATATTTAAGTCTTGGACTGTAGCTCAAAAACTAGACCAGATGCCCCCACAAAAACCTAATAAATCTATTTATAGTGTACTGAAAATCGGGACAGAAAACGGACAAAAATGCCCTTTCAAGTCAGAAATGCGACCGCATTCCTGTCGCAAAGAGCACATGCGGTCCGCATTTTTGACATCCTCATCGCAAAATGAAACCCTAGTTTTCAGGCCTTCACCGCCTTCATGTTTTGCGATCCGCATGTAGAAATGCGACACATTTTTCATCGCATTTTCTTCATTCAGCAGCCTTCATGGTTGGTTTGCGGTCTATTTTGCAGCTCGCAAACAGGTTATGCGATCGCAGAGTGGACTGCATTCTTGACGTTGAATTCTGCTCAGGGTCTGTTGTGATCTGCGATCTCAGTATCAATTATGCGGTCCGCATTGTTGTTTTGCGACGGCATATCTTCCTTTGCGATGCCTTTTAGCTCTTTTGTCTTTTTGTATCGTTTTGCCCTCATTTCCATGCTCTTGGGTCCTTAAACCTCATGTACCGCAAAAACACTAAAATTACATAAGTAAAGGAGATAGTTGCACCTAAAATAAGCTAAAATCTAAGCAATTAGTATTGAAATGTGCCGAAATTCTCCGGCACATCAACACCCCCAACTTAAACTCTTGCTTGTCCTCAAGCAACTAAAACAACACTAACCTATTCTAGACTCTATCTACAAAACATGAAACGATAGTGACCATGGCTGGTGTTAGTTGTTAGTATTTCAAGCATGCATCTTCGATTGCTTTACCCTTCCTGAACCATCACTACGTACAAAGGAAACTAATCAACTTGTGAACTTTGAGCCTCAGACAATGTGACAAAATGCTACCCTCAGCTAAGTGCAATTGCATTTGACTCAAAAACTCAACTTTTATTCAACCTTACAGTTCATGTGCCCTCACTAGAAAGAAGGTCCCAAAATCACAGTATGTACAATGACAACAAAACAAAAAGGGACGAATTCACAAAGACACTCACTCTCAGAAAAGAGTTTCAAGTGTTTCAACATACCATACCAGAGGTTTGCCCTTATTTTAATTCATCGCTTTATTCTAAGAACGCTCGATTGGAGATCCCATAAGGACTTTTTAAGCTTGTAATGTAGGTTTAGGGAAGGGTCGGATAAGCATTTGGATACAAGTGACTTCACCCTCCTTGAACACTACTCACATATTTTATTCTTTTGCACTATGTTTCTTTTCAACCCACAAAGCCTCACTGGCATCTAGTTGTCAATGTAGAACCGCCTTAAATACCTCTCTAATTTTCCTCAAGGCTCCATAATTTATATACATACAAATATTTCTCTCTCGTTTTTTTTATATACATATTTTTTTTCTTTTTGGAGCTTGAATAATTTAGCACCAACACTTTGAGGTATATGATCCTACACTCAATGTACAACCTTACCAATTTTCATTTTGACACCACACCCCCAACTTGGGATTTTAGCCTCATTCTCAATGTTCAAGGAGGGACGAGTTCAAAAGAGGGAATTATTTTACAAAAGGGGAAAGGTTCGTAATGAGGTAGCCAACGGAAAGGTTAAAGGCTCAAATGAGGTGACTAGGGATATTAACTGCACAATGGGTGGCTTGAAAGGCTAACTGGCTTGAAAGATCACAAAGACTGCCTAAGGTCATCTCTCTAACCAAGTGTAATTATTATAAACATCGAAAAACCAATCGGGAAAGTTCTAGATGGCAGAAGCAAACACAAGAAATATTTACACAAAGAACTCACACACACGGCACACGAACTGTTCGGCTCACATAGTTTGAAGCCCTTGAGTCAACACTTGGCAACTCAAAGCTTTCATCATATGTACAAGTATAACTCTAGGTAGACATAGAGTCACAGAGCGAGCCTCAAGTTCACACACTTGATATCCTTTTTTTTTTTTATATATATATCTCTGGAAGGGTATATGCTATATACAGACACACATGCTTGAGACTAGACAATTACACCAAACAGGTCAAGATGTTTCATTCTACTGTCCTGGTTCTACTATTACACCCTTGGAAAAGAACCCGGCGAAGAAAAACCAAGGGGAATTCATTGCTAATTACTAAAGATGGATAAATATCTACCCTTATTTTTTTTATATGCAACAGGGTATCATATTCACAGGGGTATCATAACTTATGCATTGAAATCACAAAAATACTAATATAAACATGATCACGAACTACACAACACAACTTATGTACGGAAATTATACTAACATATACAGAGCACAAAATACACATATGTCCAATAGTTGCTAATGTCACCAAAGTACCAATGGCAGAAAAGTACCAATAAGGCTACCACCCCTAACTGAACAGCATGCATTGTCCCCAATGCATAAATAAAACATAGAGTGTAAGGGGCTCCCTGAGGCGCACTATGCGCTATGGGAGTCAGTAGCCTGCTCAGTGGTGGTGGGGTCACTCTCCGATGCTGAAGCTGGGACCGATGAGGGCTCGGTCTGAGGAGCGACGTTGACTGCAGTAGGGATCTCTGGCTGGTCAAGAACTGGAGCTGGAGCTGGGACCTGTGAGATGCTAGCCTCGCCCACTGATGGCTGAGTGGCCGATGAATCTACAGGGGCGGCCAAATCTGCTAGCGAATGTTCAATTGTTGTCTGAAGTTCTG